CATCCATTCCCTACTTACTCCCCAAAGAATCATGCACTATGGCTCCCTGAGCACAATTGAACACACAATGACTTGCTCTCTAAAGAACATAAATCCCTTAAGAAGTTACCCCTCACAACAACAACAACAAAAAGAAATTACCCTTCTTCAGACAGAAACTCACTTTCCAACTCTTTTCAAACACTGAGATTCTACAGGAATGGTGCTCTTCCCTTTTCCAGCAGATTCAGGTTTCCAGGAGTTCTATACTTTTGGCCAAGTGGAAAGAGACTAGTTAAAGAGGTTGATGTGGACCTTTTAGACCCAGGAGAAATTCTAAATGGAAGCTCTTTTTTTTTTAATTTTTTGTTTATTGCAGTAACATTGGTTTATAACATTGTAAAAATTTCAGGTGTACATCATTATACTTCTATTTCTGCATAGATTACATCATGTTCACCACCCAAATACTAATTACAACCCATCACCACACACATGTACCGAATTATCCCTTTCACCCTCCTCCCTCCCCCTTCCCCTCTGGTAACCACCAATACAATTAAGTGGAAGCTCTTAAAGGGAGACCCAGCTGCGTCGTTTGGTTTGTTCCATTTCCTTCGGTTTGTTCCATTTCCTTCGTGTGTATGACCATCCCCCACAGATTAAAGAAGATGGTGATTCCTACACCTCACAGGGAGGTCAGCCTACAGGGGGCACAGCTTGTTCACAAACATACTCTTGTGGCTTGAGGCTTTTCTGTGATGTTGGTCAAAAATAACCTATTTCATCCTTTTCTTGGCCATAGTCACAACCAACTGAGGCTATAGTGACACAACCGGAACTCCTCCCAGCCTCTTTCTAATCTCACCATCTTTTTTCTTGGCACTAGACTCGTAGATTCCAGAGAATATTGAGATGAAATCAATCCTCAGGTCAGGATTACACTTAGCAAAGGAGACCTACTCAAAAATATTCCTAAAGTCGATCCTGTTGGAAAAGACAGCAAAGTGACTTTGGGAGTTCTCCAACAAGCTCAGTGAGAACCAGTGAAGCCTCTGGCTTAAAGAACAATTCCAACTAATGAAATGCAAACTAAATAACTAAATGAAATCAGGATATGAGCAAAATTCCAAGATATATTTGATAGCTTTTCTCTCTTCCCCTCATTTTATTCTGTTTTCATTCCTTACTATCGATTTAAAAAGGCAGTTCTCAAGCCTCATGTTCTCATGTTTCATTCATGCCCCTTCCTCTAAAACAATAGTCTTTTATGTAAATATTAAGGTCACGCAACTGTGTACCTTAGAACCACGTACTCTGGGGTTAAAACGCAATCTTTTGCAGAAAAGTGGTCTTAAAAAATAAACACAAAAATACAGACTTTAGTGTTTGGGTTTCACCTAATTCTTTCAAAGAGGGACTGGGTAGGGCTCATCAAAAACATACAAACTCAGATACTTTCTATAAATGATAAGTTTTACAATAATATTTAATCCCACTGATTAATATAATACAGTGAGTTTTCAGATTTAACTTCCATATACATATTATATAAAGGGACAATATATACTTTTTAAAAGTCTGAGATTTTCTTTCCTAAATAATAGATAAAAGTATTTTTAAAGTGCATGAATCAATCAAGAAAAAAATAAGAGTGGCCTAATTTCAAGTCGCTACCTACTTCCATTACAAAGCTACATATTGTCTGAAGATTGAGTTTTAATTTCAGAGTCCTGAGGATGTGTCATAAAGCAACGGAGATTAGAATAAAGTCCTTCCAGAGCAGCTTCACAATTACCCTCACGCTGACATGCTAGTTAGAGAAGAAAACAGCAGAAATTATGGCCTGAGCATGAGTTTTGAAAGATGGAGACCAAGAAACCTTTTTATGAAGACCACCTCCCAGATAACTCATGTTGAATGAAACAAATCCGCTAAAAAACCAGGGGCTCTCAGACATAGGAGAGCTGATGTCTGTGCAGGAAACATACTCTTAGACACCTGGCAAAAGGAAGAGAATGGTGGGATCATCTGTGTTTAAAAATTAGCACTTTAGGAGGCGGGCCCCGTTGCGTAGCGGTTAAGTGCTCACGTTCCGCTGCTGGCGGCCCGGGTTCAGATCCCAGGCGCGCACTGATGCACCACTTAACAGGCCACGCTGTGGCGGCGTCCCATATAAAGTGGAGGAAGATGGGCACGGATGTTAGCCCAGGGCCAGTCTTCCTCAGCAAAAAGAGGAGGATTGGCATGGATGTTAGCTCAGGGCTGATCTTCCTCACACACACACACAAAATTAGCAGTTTAACATTTACATTTTAAAACCTATGTGGTAATTATACCTAAGGGTGTTTACTATATACTTAAGTTTTCTGTTTGCTGAAAATTTTTCATAAAAAATGTTGGAAAAAATTAACCCTTTAAACATGTCTTCCTTTCTAAAAGCCCCATCTCTCAACAAACTAGCAAAACTAAACAAACTGAAGTAATTTAAGAGCTCAGCCACTCTGAGTAGAGAATTCTAGGCTCTCTCCTACTCTGAAGCACTTTCTTTCGAATGTTTGTTAATATTTATTTGTGCTCTAGAGAACGGGGTGAGGGTGAAAGCAAATGATTTTCATTTCACTGTTTGGTTCTATAAACTTGGACATGGAGAGACTAAGGAAATGACTACCTCTTAGGATTTGCTGGGCTATGAAATTCTCAGTATACTATTACCTATGCTTCAGTAAATAATATTTTCTCCCTAAAGTTCTGTAATTTCAGAAATTTAATATGAGAATAGCGAATGAATTAGATAGTGAAAATATCTTAGCTATTTTGTGCTAATGGAACAAAGAAACCATGACTGTTAGTGAAACACCAGTATAGAATGAAATCTAACAGTGTCAAAGACTTCAAAAGTGACCAGACAATAAGAGGCACACAGAGGCCGTGGGAACAAGTCCCTCAGGCTTCGATGATGCAAGAGAACTAGGATTCCAAAGAAAATAAGTACAGAGAATCTCATGGCAAAAATAAACAATAAGTGTTATCCCACGAAGCTTGCTGTGGCCTGAGCTCCATTTTAAGAGGAAGTCAGAAGTTAAAAATAAACAGGGAAATTAAGCAAGGCTTTAGCTGACTGGAGAACAGCTCAGTAGAAAATTCTTTTATAAAGATTATATTCAATCAGCTAAGGCATGACTCAACTTCAGTGATGAAAGATTGGTCACTTGGCTACCTGATGGGATGACGCACAGCAAGTTTGCTTTTCACCACCCAAATAGACAGTCACTAAAATAATTTCTAATTTCTTACAAGGTATATAAATTTTGGCCAGGGTAATCCCCTATAAAATGCACTTAAATATAAAATAATGGAGGTATGATGCCGCTCAGAGAAGGGGGATGCTATGGCAATCCACAACATCCTATCCGATTTGAGGTTTTGCTCCCAGGAAACAGAAGGTGGAGGCTGCATTGCCCTTTGTTCGTGACGTAGATGCTACTGCAGACCTATTGTGAGGAGCCCTGTTCTTTGAGTTCCTGCTCCTAGAGGGAGGAGAGGCTTGGTGTGAGGCACCCACACAAGGGACGAATGAGCCAAAGGAAATGTCATGAAGAAGGTGACTCCTCAGAGTAGGCAAAGGACTTTAAAATCCTGGAATCACAGGATATCTCTGATTGGCTAGTCAGTTCCTCTGCACTCAGTCCTGGGCGAATGGGCAGATTCCCTCACAACCTAGAATTCCTTATGGGGAGTGCTGGGGTAGGTTGGCATCATTCAACTCAGAAGGGGCAGACTCTCCCAGAGCATGACAGGACTGACCTGCAGGGATGGAATATTATCACTTCCCAACTTCTCCTAAAATCATCATCTTTAACTCCATAGAAGTGGCCTCAATGGCTCAGAACAGACAGAAGCCTTCTGAGAAACAGATGGAAACTGTTTAAAAGGCAAAATGAAATGTGCCAAAAAAATAAATAAAGTAATAAATAAATCTAATTATTCCTCAAAATTCTAAGGCAGTAACAGACTTGACACAAGGAATAAGAAACAAGGAGGTATAGACAACTGCGATGGTCCCTTCTCTACCTCCCCCTCTGCCTGAGACCCCCCACCCTGCTGCTCTGGTGACCACTGGCTGCAGGCCCCTGTGGCACTCTGGGCCTCAGGGTTAATGGAGTGGGAAAGGCCGTCACCAGGGAAATGCAAGCTTTGGCCTGGTAAAGCAGAAATCCAACCAGCAGCAACGGCGAAGCTTCATTATCACCTTTCCTAAGAGACTCTGAACACCAAAAGCTTTAAGCCCTCAATGCAAGAAACCTACATCCAGAAACTGTGGAAATCTGATTGGTTCCAAAGCAAAATTTCTAAGTAACACTCCTACTCTAAAGACAAAAAAAAAAAAAAAGAGTGGTAGTAAATCTGGAGTGTTGTTTTTGGTTTTTTTTTTTAACCTTCCATCTCAGATTATACCCCTCCTTCTCTGATTTAAAACAATTTAGTAACACTTGACTTTCAAAGATGTGAGTTCTGAGATCAATCCAGTACCTAATTTCCACCCTTTCCCCTTCAACCACCAGTGCCCTTGGGAAGGGACACTACCTCTTGAAGCAGGAAGTGATGGAGGCAGTTTTTTCCCCCAGATCTTAGACTACATTGATCATCACTTTAGATTGCATGGAAGTTCTTGCTATAATGGCAGACACAGACTTAGGAAAGGGAAGAGAGGAGGGACAGAGGCAGAGTTGAACCATCAGGACTAGTAACACCCCTCCAAAGGCAGCGAGGGCTCCCAGCCTGTGCTAGAGACCACGAAGAACCAGCAGGCGGGAATGTGGCAGTGGTGAGAGGCTGGACAGAGCTTTCTCTGTCCAAGAGACTGGGTTCCTTCATGGACAATGTGCTTTTCCCTCTTCCAGCCCTTTTGAAAAGTGAAGAGAGTGGGTGCCACTAAACACGTCTGCAATAAAGGCTCTGGGAGAAGAGAGAGCAGCCATTGGAATAATATACCTTGTACCAAAACAAACTTATTTTTTAAAGACAACACCCGACTTCCTTTTAGGCTTTTGCCTTATGGGTTCCTTCACAGAGGGATTTTGCTGGAGTCTGAAGCAAGAAGAGCACAAGTCAGGGACCACAGAACAGGGGCACTAGACCACCACCTGCAGAAGCCAAGAAGGGGGAAAAGCTACATGGGGGTGACAGCCAGGCATGCCAGGCAGGGCATGAGGGTCAGGAGCCTCACGCTCAACTTGTAGCTCTTGCATATCCAGAGCAAGAGGCCCCAGCTGGCAGCCTGCTCCAGCCAGCAAACACCCGCCTGCCTCCTGTCCCAGCTGGCCTTCAGCTAGTGTAGTAGATGTGGAAGTAGAGAGTCTTGTTGCGTAGCAGGGAGTAGGAGTTGTCAAACTTGAGCAGGTAGATGCCCTCACCAGGGTAGTCGTGGCTGCCAGCCTGCACGTCTCGGTGGCTGTCCCGCCGGTACACAGGCATGACCTCCCCATAGCGACCTCGCAGGGAACTCCTGGAGCCTCTCTCCACATCTCCAACTGGGACAGGGTCTGCAAGAGCAAAATGGCAGTGTCTAGGTATGAGTTCATAGACCAAATAAGTCCTACCGGAAGGTAGGAGGATGAACCAGGTTACCTAGTGGCTTTCACCCAGAGGGATGCTATTGCCCTCCTACAGGCATTTGGAAATGTCTAGTGGCCTTTTTGGCTATCACAGTGACTAATGGGTGATATTGGCATCTAATGCCCAAGGGTCCAGGACTGCTCAACGTCTGGATAGTACCTGCTCAACAAAGAAGCATCCCATCCCAAACGCCAATAACGTCTCCACTGAGAAACAAGGATTTAGACTTATAGAGCCTAGCTAGCTCCAGAAGAATCTGGACATTTCCAAGGGGGAGAAAAAGACACTTAGAAGGGAAGATTCTGACATCCTTTCATTCAACAGTGGAAAGAACTAGCTAATGGAGGCAGGAAATGCAGACAAACACACTCTGCATAGTGACCTAGAACTTCCACTTGGCCTCCTGAAGAGCAGCAAACAAGATCTGAGGTTCTCTTCCCCAAGTACCTGAAGATTTCCCTGCAGACTTGCATTTTCATGTACAAGCAAGTTAAGGGATTGACTTTAAGATTATACAAGAAAATCAAGAAATAAGGCCAGTGCTTAGAACCTACTCTTATATTACAAAAAAAAAAAGTCTCAGGGGCCTCCTGAGTAGGCACTGAAAGTAACAACTGGCCCGGAGCACAGAGACTACTTTTGAAACTGCTCTAGGCATGAAATAAAGAAGTAAACAGTAGTCATCCGGCTGTGACAGTTTGAGAACGGGTACATTTAGCAAATTGTAATCACCCCGTTTGGCTCCAGACCATGAATAAATGTAAATATCTCAAAACTAAGAGAGAAATGTAAAACAATCTCAGGTTTATATGTGATCTGAAAAACACTGCCTCTCATACAGCAGCACTGACCCACCCCTTTCGCTGCCCCCAGCCTATCCCCGTCCCCCAGGAGATGTTGGAGAAACAGCAGGTACTGATTAAAAGGAAAAGAATCCATACCAACCCCACCCAAAGGTTCTTTGAGGGTCTGACTTTGGCCTGCATCACTCAACTCAGCTTGCAATGCTGAAAGGGATTCCTCACCTTCGTTCTAAGGAAGAGGAGGACGGGTACAACACAGGAAGTGACCACTAGAAATTAGGTTGAGCCAGAAAAGGAAACTGCAAATTAGGTTAAAATTAAATTTACCTTCAATCTCCTCGTCCTCTTCCTCATCTTCATCTTCATCCTCACTGGAATCACTGACCTGCACAGTTATGTCAGTGCTGGTTACAGGGGTCCAGTCAAAATAAACTCCAAAGCCAATGTCATAGTCATCGGTCGCAAACTCCCAGCAGACACGCTTCCCCTCTGGGTGGGTAGGAACTCGGATGGTCACCACCTCACCCCGCTTCACCACCAGACGGCTGTTCTTCTCTTTGCCCAGCTTGCTTTTGAATTCCTTCATCTTGGCAAAGGTCCAGATGCACGGAGGAGCCATCAGAGGTGGGGAGACTGAAAGGACAGGCAGCTTACTATTGAGAAACCAAGAGGAAATGCTGCCACACCTGGCATTTTGCTTAGGGAGGTTGTCACAGTCAAAGACATTCTTTCTACTGGCTTCTTTGACTTCCTTTCACAAGTCACTTTCTTTCTGTCCTTCTATCTGTCTGCCTGCCTTTCTTTAAGCACCCTCTGGGAACCAAAAAACCACCTTCCACACTCCCGAAGGTCTCACCTTTCCTGTGGTCCCCCAGAAGATCTGCAGATTCCAAATCAGCTGAAAGAATATCTATAGCTCCCGTGTGCTCAGACTGGATCATAACGATGTCCCCAGACCTTTGTGGAACCTGGTACTCGGCCATCTGCACAACAGAATTCTGGTTAAAGGACATGTTAGAGTGGCAGATTCTAATTAGCGTCTTTCCAAATGAAAGCTGCCCACTCTTGACCTATTACCTCCACTCTCCCAACTCAAAGCCTAATGTGCTCTTCAACATTCCTTCTCTTTCCTGTAGGTAGAGGTTGCTAATAAATTCTACTAATTTTCTTTTAATGACACCAAAATGTTACCTAGTCTAAAGATTCTTCCTTGTTCTCGCCTACCATTTGCAACTTTCCCACTCCAGACCCTTTATAAAATCCTTGCCCACAAACATCCTCAAAGTTTGCTACTGACTTTTGCATCAACAGCATTTCTAGGCCACGCCTTGGTCTCGCCTCGGCTGGCACAGTACCTTCCTGCAGCTCCTCTCATGACAGCTCTTGCACCCAGGGTTAGCTCAGCTCCCACTCTGCCACACATCCTTCTGCTACAATTCCCATTCAAAGGTCACTTCCAGATCATTGCCAATCAATCCACTACAGCACTGCAGAGAGAATCTGGTTTATATTCTCTGTCTCTGTCTCCTCTCTCTCATCCATGGCACACCTTGGATGTCTCATCCTATAGGTTGTCTCATCCACTAACAGTGTTCTAAAAATAATTACAATTTCCCCTTAGACCAGCCCCAGGATTCGCATTTAAAGAATATATTTGCTGCCAGACATCTAACCTGCAAGGAAGAGTAAAAATGTCACTTGATACTCAAAGCCCTTGCTATCCCATGGCAGGAGCCTGCAGTCTCTCCCTAGTGGCTTTCACTTCAAATCACTCGGATTAGTGTTCCCATTTTACGCTCTTATGCTTTAATGTCTCGCTCCTTCTCCCAGCAGTCAGCAGGCAATTCAAGAAGAAATGTTCGCCTACTGCCAACATGGGAGAGTGCATCAGTGAGACAGCAGTCCAGTTCAGAAACCAGAATTATATCTGCAAGAAATAATAAACAAATTTTGTCATCCTCCCAGACTGTACTCTCATAATTATCTGTTTCTGGAGAATAAGTCCTTCAGCTCTTCTTTTTTTTGAGGAAGATTGGCCTTGTACTAACATGTTGCCAATCTTCCTTTTTTTCTTTTTTCTCCCCAACGCCCCAGCACGTAGTTGTGTACCATAGTTGTAGAGTTGTAGCTCTTCTATGTGGGACACCCTCTCAGCATGACTTGATGAGCAGTGAGTAGGTCTGTGCCCAGGATCCAAACCAGCAGACCCCTGGCCACCGAAGTAGAACGTGCTAATTTAACCGCTACGCCACCGGGCCGGCCCCAGTCCTTCAGTTCTTATCTCCACTGCTAAATGAGGTGAATCACACTGTGGCTAACTTGCTTGAATGAATCTTTCCTTTTCTAGAAGGCTAAACAAAGAATTTAACTTGCAACTTATTAGCTGCATAGCCTTAGTAAAGTCACTAACAGCTCTTAGCCTCAGTTTCCTCATCTGTAAAACGGGGACATAATGGTACCTAGCTATAGGGTTGTTCTCAGGAGTAGATAAAGTATTGTGGATAAAAATGCTTTGTAAACTATAAAGCATTATACAAATGTAATTATAATGTTTGATGTTGTCTTTATTGATACTAATACCATTTGTTATTTTATGTTAATAATGATACAAACAACTCATTCCTCCATGGCAAGAGGAACACTGCTATCCATACTACTTCTATGGCATCTTTACCATAAATACTGAATAGATCTACCACAAAAAAAGTGAGGGTAAAACACAGTCCAATGGTTTACGGCTCCTTACAACAAGAGGATTTTAGATAACATGTAAACATTCATCCTAACATTTCATTTTTTGAATAGGTGATGGGCTCTGTGGAAGATACACATAACCATTCTCCAAATAATTAAAGATGAGATGCCCTAAAAGAGCAAAGAGAATTCTGTGAGCCACCCTCACAGTGCTTTCTAATTCCAACCTATCCGTACATATCTAAATTCTGGGGCCACAAACTCCTCCTTTTCAAAGAGAGCGTGAAAATGTGCTCCTTACCTTGTTGAGGACCCGGGCCTGGTCTGTAGGCTGCAGTTCCCGTTCCACCAAGGCCGGAGCCTCCAAGGCTCCAGCTGCTTTCCGCAGATCTTCCGGGGCATCCTCACTCCCCGGGGATACCGTCTGTAGCCTCTCAGAGGAAGAGAGCATGTCAATGCAAGCACTCTTTTAAAAGGCACAGTAGTCCTGGAGAAACTCAGAAATAAAACAACCTTCAAAAGACACCACCTACAACCCCTGCTTTACTCTGGCACTTAGGTCTACTGTCACTTTAGCTGATCTCTGCCCGGGGCTGAACTGGCCCACAGTAAAGTGATGACAGCATGTGAGGGCCCAAAGACTAAGAAAGCCAGGTCCCAGGCTCCAAGAACCACGGTAAACACACAGCTCAGTCATGAGATGGACTGCAGGTCTGGTTTTATTCCTCACTCTGGGACCCATGCCATTTGCTCTACACAGAATTTCAGAAAAGGAAGAGTTAGAATCCCAGTTCTGTTCTACACATAAAGCCACTGGTCAGAAGCAAACGAAGGAGGCCTAAGCCAGAAATTGATCACGAAAACAAAGGAAGTACACACTGATTATCGTAGTGCAAAGTCTCTCAGTATTTCCATTTCATACCCTATCACTGATATCCATATCATATCCAGTTCACTGGGTAATAAAAAAAGGTAATCACTTTCTTTCCTTTTTTAAGCACATTAATCTACTGTTTCAATGACTTAAAAGACAACTATTTGAACAGTTGGTTTTAAAGAAGCAAGGGAATAATTTATGCTCTCTTCCATTTCCCCTGGCTTCCAGAGAGACTAGAAGTGAGTTAAGTGGCAGGGCTGTAGCACAATACCCCAGGCCTCTTGGAAACAACAAAAGGTGGCATGGATTTTTTAGAGCAGCAGTCATCAAAGTAGGGTCCAGGGACCCCTGGGGTCCTTAAGACTCTTTCAGCAGAGCCGGTGAAGTCAAAACTTTTTCATAATAACTCTAAAATACGATCTGCCTTTTTCCCTTCTCATCTTTTCAAGAGCATACAGTGGAGTTTTCCAGAGACTACATGACGTGGGATATCACAACAGAATGAATGCAGAAGCAGATCTGAGAATCCAACTGTCTTTTGTTAAGCCAGACCTTAAAGAGATTTACAACATCTCTCTTCTCACTAAATTATTTTTGCTTTTGAAAATAGTTATTTTTCATTAAAAATATTATTTATATTAACATGTAATAAGTTCATTATTGTTATTTTAAATGAACCAATAACTATTTTTTAATTTTTCAGTTCTAATTTCTAATATAGTAAACATTGATAGATATAATCCACATAAACAAAAATTCTTTGGGGTCCTCAATAATTTTCAAGAATGTAAAGGTTTGAGGGGGCGGGCCCAGTGGCGCAAGTGGTTAAGCGCGTGCGCTCTGCTGCGGCGGCCTGGGGTTCACCGGTTCAGATCCCGGGAGCGCACCGACGCACCACTTGTTAAGCCATGCTGTGGCGGCATCCCATATAAAGTAGAGGAAGATGGGCACACATGTTAGCCCAGGGCCAATCTTCCTCAGCAAAAAGAGGAGGCTTGGCATCGATGTTAGCTCAGGGCTGGTCTTCCTCACCAAAAAAAAAAAAAAAAAAGAATTTGAGGTTTGAGAACCACTGCTTTAGGGCATCGTTTCCTCAGAAAAGTTGAATGAATGACTGGAAACAGTCCTATAAACCACAGGGGAAACAGAGGGCTTATTTTGGTCTTTATTAGTTTCTTTCTTTCTCACTCCAAGTCTATAAATTACCTCTTCTTCAGATAAAACAGAGCCAACTTTTGGAATATCCAAGCCACTCAGAACAAACAAGAGGCAGTTACTATGAAAATCAGAGCTGTGGGATACTGTTGATTTGTATGGGTTTGCTTGGGTAATCCTGAGTAAATTGTAAATTGGTCTAGGCTGTGAGCATATTTACCCTCAAACTCAGAAATTTACAGTCCATTTTTGTTTCTTGACACTATTATTATCTGTCTCCTCTATTAGAAGATGAGCTTGGGCCGGCCCTGTGGCTTAGCGGTTAAGTGTGTGCGCTCCGCTGCTGGCGGCCCAGGTTCGGATCCCAGGCGTGCACCCACACACCGCTTGTCCGGCCATGCTGAGGCCGCGTTCCACCTACAACAACTAGAAGGATGTGCAGCTATGACATACAACTATCTACTGGGGCTTTGGGGGAAAAAATAAATAAATAAAATTATAAAAAAAAAAAAAAGAAGATGAGCTTGATGGCAAGGACTGCGTCTTCCTCCCTCTGCACAGCATCCACAGCCAAGCCTGTCACATGGAACGCTAAGGTCCTTTGCACTCCAACCCCATCTCCTAGAATGACCTCATCTCGCCTTGCCCAGTCCACTCCAGTTACAATGGCTTCTTGAATCTCTGAGAGTCCTCAGACACCTCAAGCACTCTCCACTGGAGGGTTTTTGCACCTGCTGTCACTTCTGCCTAGAATCCTCTTCCCCTAGTTACCTCATGGCTTCCTTCCTTCAGGGTTCTGCTCAGCCGTCACCTTCGGGGAGGTTTCCCAGACATCCGTATATAAAACAGCTCACCCTGCCTGGCCCCGTCACTCTTTACACTCTTACCCCGCTTCACTTCTCTTCACTGTGCTCTTACTGCCTGACATATTATGTGCCATATTTTGTTGATTGCAAGATGCATATCTGTTTTCAGATTTTAATACAACTGAAATGTGGGATTTCAGTTATGTTAAAATTGGTGGTGTTTTAAAACTGCCACAGAACTGGACTGACATCGATTCTTTCCCCAGGAGATTCGTATTTGCTTCTGCCAGTACTCAGGAGGGCTACCAACTAGGTCAACTTGAAATTAAGTTCTGTTTAAGGGTTTTGTTTAGACAACACTGGCAGAGTGACTTTAGACAACAAACTGGTGACTACAGATTTGTGGTTCATATTCTCAGGGGAGATATTCTTTCCTCCTCTTACACTTTGCCAAGGTTGAGACATTCAAATTTCCTTGCTGTCCTTTTCTGTGTGCAGGGATTTTTTTTCCTTGTTTATCTTTCCACTCAAGGTGCAGGCTTTTGGTGTCCCAGCTCCATAAGGGGAGTCTCCTATTAGACTCTCTGTCTTGGCCTTTTTTTCCTTTCTTGGTGGCACAGAAAATAACAGTACATCTTACAGTTGATGGCAACTTAGGTTCTATGAAATATGATTTATACTTGTTTTCTGTCTGCCTCCCCCATTAGAATATAAGCTCCATGAGACCAGGGACTTGGACTGTCTGTTCATTTATGGTATCTTCAGTCCCTAGAATATTGCCAGGTACACATTAGGCTCTCAACAAATAGCTGTTAAATGAATACATAGTAGACACTCAATAAATATTTGTTGAATGAACAAATGAATAAGTTAATTTTTGTTTGGGAACAAAAGAGGAATATTTGGAATGTGAGAATACAACAGTTAATCTGAACTATTAGCCTGACCTTACTGTATATGGCATCTAAAATTTAGTCTCTTCTTTGATTTTGTGCAATACGGTTCACATATAAAAAATAATACTTTAAACAGAACATGCAAGAGCCACATAAATTTAATATTCACATTAGCATTTTATGCTCCGAAGAAATAATGAAAGATATTTTGGGAAACATCAACTGCAAATCACTTGATGCCGACGATAAACCACGTAAAGGAAAAACTTCCACTGTGAGCCTTCTGGTTTGTGCTGACCTGGACAAGGGAGGCCATCCCAAATGGAGGGGAGAGCCTGGCCAGCCGGCCAGCCTCACTAGAAGAGATAGAGAGCTGTGCTGTTTCCATTTCCAATATATGCAAAACACAAACACAACACATTAGCCACCACGCTCACTGGATTTTTTTCTTCACATTAGATTTCAGAAACAAAACTTTAAATCTCCTTTTGTCTAAGAATGTCCTATGTTCCTCACTCAAAAATTTATTCACTCTTAGGAGGAAAAAACAGTTCTGTGCCAAAACCCATCCCCCAAGGATCCTTCAAATCAATCTGTGCAGAAAAAGGGTGGTGGCAGGAAGATGGAAAGGAGTTCTTCTCAGGGGATTTGATGAGAACATGAATTATCTCAAAAAATCAAAGCCTTGGGGAGGCTGTGTCTTCTAAAAGGATTGTTATATATAATAGCCCAGTAGCTCTAAGCATAGAACTCAAAACCTTTCTATCGCTACTTATGAGAATAAGCTTTAGAGCTTATCACAAACCTAAAGCTGTGTGACCTTGGGCAAATTATTGGATTCAGTATTTGATTTCCCTCATCTTAAAAAAAAAACAGGTATATTTATTTCATTAGGGTTGTTATGAGGAAAATGAGATAATACATTTTAACACCTAGTATAGTATTGAGCAAATAGAAATATTTGATAAAAAGTAACTATTTTATCATTATTACAGAGAAACATCCAATAAAGTATCGCTGTTATATTATTATTAGCAACTATATTATAATTATATTAATCATTATTATCTTCCATCATTTGAATTCTGGGGGAAAAGCTTTATTCCAAATATAAAGGTACAAAGAAAGAACTTCTAAATAGAATTCAAGAAGTAACAGATTTTAAAAATATCTCAACACTCCCTCCTACCCCCAGCCATCAACTTTGTGTGGGGCATGGAGACTGCAGGTTCTACTGGACAATACTGTACCATGAGTTAATCAGTTGGGCTATAATACCCACTTGTTTAGGGTTCTCCAAAATACAGTTTTTCATTAATTATTCCATTAATGGTTTGTGGTTTGCACTCATTCTAGGGCTCAGTACAACTGTTCCCTTTCTGTTACACACTTGGTATCAGTGATGGTGGGTGGATGAGATGGATGAGAAGGAAATCAAGAATGACAACCTGAAGGTAATCATAATGGATTAATCTGAAAATGACACAATAAAAAACTACCTCCAATCACGTGTGTGTCTAAGTGTGTGTGTGTGTGTATATGCACTTTATGGGTAGAAACCAGACACTTTCTCTTGCAAGTCCAACTGGGCTCCACTTTAAATGTCTTAACATTTGAACCTGGTCTTCAGGAGAAGATAAATTAAGACAGTACACGATTTGTTACAGTTTTATTCTCTAAGAGTAAAATAAAATTTTATAACCTGAAATAGGTCTGATAGTGCCCTTAAACACACTTAAAGGATTGATTAATTAATAACAAAATCATCCATACCCTTCACTTCAACTTGTCTTCTCCCTTAAAGTCGCTGTCCACTTCTTAATTCATTAATTCCTGATTTCAGAAGATAAAACCTCTAAAAGCATTTTATCTAAAGTAGTTGCTGTCCCTACCTGTAGGGTGAGGAATTGGGTTCTGGATCAGAGGCAGAAGCCACTGGAGAGGTGACCTTAGTGTTTTCCAGATCTTCATTATCTAGAAAATCATGGGAAGAAAAATTCAATATCTGAGAGGGAATACAATCATAATTACCTTGTATCTTTAAAAAAAACCTGGCAGTTTCAACCAACTTTCTCTTTTTAAAAATATTCTGGGCATAAACTTTATACTCTGGGAGGCCCCGTACATAAATTATTCAAGTCATCACATCCAAGTCTTTTCAGACAATCATAACTGATACATAAAAAAATAATTTTATAAAACAAGTCCCCACAGAATTAATCCTAATTCAAGAATCACATTTCTCAAAAAGCAAATGGTTAAATTAGGCAGAACATAGCGGGCAGAGTGGGAAGCAGGATGAGATGAACTGGGATTCAGTGTCAAAGTACAGAGTGCCACCTGTAGATTCAATAAGCTCACATCACTGTATCCAGGGTCAGGTAAAGGATTCTTCTAATTTCATTCATTTTCTCACTCACTCATTCATCAATGACTTCTTGAATAAATGTTAGGTGCCCTCAAGGAGTACATAGGTGAGACGCATAATGAAGACCATGTTCCCAAGCTCACAACAAGCCCATGGCTGATATTTTCATAGCCATTTTGCAGGTCAGGAAACTAAAATATAGACACAGGATTCAAACTCAGGCTCTCATGCTCTTAACTAAGTTTCACCATTTATTTGCTTGGCCTTTCCTTGAGCACTCAGAAAAGCATACGGTTCAGTGTATTTAGATAACCCCTGGTTTAACCTCCTCTAGTTAAGATAGCAAGAAACTGAAGCCCCGAGTCGACTTCTCAATACAAAATACAACCTCAAACAATGAAGGTTTCAGAGTTTAGTAGCAACATAAAAGTGCAACTGACAGGCAAATATCTGTGATCCAGCTTTAATCTAGTCTCTTTTTATGTGTGTGAATGAGATCTTTTTCATCAATTCACACTCTCATAGGTAGAGCAACCTTATAGCTTATGCCACCCAATTTTCCTCTTGTGAGATAATAGACAATATATATATTAGTCTCTGCCCCCAGTTCCTGGCACAGAACTCCCAAAACCCTTATAATTTCCTAAGTGATAAGAGCACTACAAGCATCTTTTGCTCTAATATTGTCTTTTTTTTTTTTTAAAGATTTTATTTTTATTTATTGTTTTCCCCCCAAAGCCCCAGTAGATAGTTGTATGTCATAGCTGCACATCCTTCTAGTTGATGTATGTGGGACGAGGCCTCAGCATAGCCGGAGAAGCGGTACGTCGGTGTGTGCCCGGGATCCGAACCCGGGCCGCCAGCAGCGGAGCGCGCACACTTAACCGCTAAGCCACGGGGCCAGCCCTCTAATATTGGTTTTTGACCCTGGATCCTGACACAGAGTTCCTAAATCCCTGGGAATTTCGTGGGTGACAGGAGTGTCTTTTGTTCTAATGAGGTGACTCTTGGGCTCCTGGATGGGGGCTGCTCACCAGAAGGACCAAGCCATGATTAGAAGCATGATTTTCAGCTCCACCTCCCATTCTCCAGAGAGGAGAGAGGGGCAGGAAATAGAGTTAATGACTGGTCATTCCTACATGATGAAGCCTCCATAAAAATCCCAGAAGTATGTGGTTTGGAGAGGTTCCAGATTGGTGAACACATCCATATACCAGGAGGGTGACGCACCCCAACTCCACAGAGACAGAAGCTCCTGCACTCCATACCCTCCCAGACCTCATCTACGTATCTCTTCATCTGGCTGTTCATCTGTATCCTTTACCGTATCCTTTAATAAACTGGTAAACGTAAATAAGTGTTTCCCTGAGTTCTGTGAGCTGTTCTAAAAAATAATCGAATCCTGGCGCTGGCTGGTGGCGTAGTGGTTAAGTTTGCACGCTCTGCTTTGGCAGCCCGGGATTCGCAGGTTTGGATTCCAGGCACGGACATACGCACCACTTATCAAGCCATGCTGTGGGGGCATCCCATATATAAAGTAGAGGAAGATGGGCATGGATGTTAGCCCAGGGCCAATCTTCCTCAGCGAAAAAAAAAAAAAATAATAATCAAATTCAAGGAGGAGAAGGCATAGGAACCTCCAATTTGTAGCCAAGTTGGACAGAAGTTGTAGGCAACCTGGGGACCTACTACTAGCAATTGACCTCTGAAGTGTGTGTGTAGAGGGGGGACACCTGCAGGACTGAGCCCTTAACCTGTGGGGTTGGATGCTATCTCCAGGTAGAGTGTCAGAATTGAGTTAGATTGTAGGACACCCAGCTGGTGTCACAGAATTGCTTGGTATGGGGGAAAAAAACCCACATACCTGGTGTCAAAAGTATTGTGAGTGTGGTAGTCGTGTGAGAGTCAAGGAGAAACACAGGAGAAGAAGTGAGCATTTCTTACACCTCTCAACAAAGGAACTGAGTCTAAGACCGTCGTCAGATGTTCTCCAGTCTCTGCCACTCTGTGAAGATGCCCTTTTCACAGAGGGATAATGAGAATAGGAAGTTCTTCCCTATGTTGACCTAAGTAAAATCTGCTTCCTAATAAATTCTGCTCTTTGATCACTCCGCCTCCACAATATCCTTTCAAATATTTACAGCCTACTATCACATTTCCAGCAAGTTCCTTCCCAGGCTGACCATCTCAGTTCTCCCAATCATCCCTAAGATGATTTCTGACCATGCTGACCAATTAGCTGTCCCACTTTGTCCCATTTAAAGTAAGGAGCTAAAAGGGACAACTTTGTCAGATGTGTCCTAATCCATGCAGAGTACACTGAGACAACAACTCTAAGGACACAATATTTCTTGACATAATACCTTAACCAGGCATTAAATTTTTTTTTAACTGAAAACTTACCCTGTTGGCCTAAGTAAGTCAATCAAGATGTCCAGGGCTTACAAAAATAAACTTATTCCAAGCCCAGATTTTCCTATGCTCTATTTTTGAAACAGATTTTTGGAAAATAATTGACTTTTTAACTTAAATGCAGGACTTTACATATCCATATGATTTATTTCAAATTAGCTTTTTGAAATTACACTAACATATGCTTTGCTCACTGTAGAACAAATTAAATACAAATTAGAAAACATTTTGCATTTACCCTTCCGGACTTTGATATACAAATAATCCATTATTCAGTGTAGAAAAATCAGGAAATATAGATAAGCAAAAAAACACAAAAAACCACAACAATCCCACTAGCCAAAGATAACCATTGTTTACATTTTGGTGCATATCCTTTCAGAAATATATTTATATATATACTTACATATGTATATATATGTGTCTGTACGTACATACATAGATGTACATGCATATCCATCTATATATTTATATATTTTCTCCCATCCCCAGCCATCAACTTTGTGTGAGGCATGGAGACCACAGGTTCTACCAGACAATACTGTACCACAAGTTGATCAGTTGTAATACCCACTAGCTCAGGATTCTCCAAAACACAGTTTTTCATTAATTATTCCATTAATGTTTCATAGTTTCCACTCATTCTAGGGTTCAATACAAACATATATTTATTTATTTATTTATATTTCTGAAAGGACATGCACCAAATGTTATCAAACATTATTCATGAACATTTTTCGGGGTCAATAAAAATGGGGCTATATCATAATTTTTTTTTTTTTCTGATCGTAGCATTCTTATTTCTAGAATCTTTTTTTTTTTTTTTAATTTTTTGTTTATTGCAGTAACATTGGTTTACAACATTGTAAAAATTTCGGGTGTACATCACTACACCTCCACTTCTGCACAGATTACATCATGTTCACCACCAAAACACCAACTAAAACCCATCACCACACACATGTACCGAACCATCCCCTTCACCCCCAGCAACCACCAATCCAATCTCTGTCTCTATGTGTTTGTTTATTGTTGTTATTATCTACTACTTAATGAAGGAAATCATACGGTATTTGACCTTCTCCCTCTGACTTATTTCACTTTGCATTATACCCTCAATGTCCATCCATGTTGTCACAAATGGCTGCAGACTATCCCATAGGCTATACCATAACTTCTTTGACCAATCCCCAAGCCTCACAAATGGCTGCAGACTATCCCATAGGCTATACCATAACTTCTTTGACCAATCCCCAAGCCTCACAAATGGCTGCAGACTATCCCATAGGCTATACCATAACTTCTTTGACCAATCCCCAAGCCTCTATTGTTACAGCTAGAGGTTGTTTCAAATCTTTCACCCTTATAGACAATGATGTTGTATTAGAGTTGTCTACAACCTTTTCTTAAGAACTTTGCCTGTTCACAGCCTTGGAAGGGGCAGACCTTGTGACCAAGATATACTGTGCTGGCCATAGCTCATTGGTTTTGGGTGAACACCTGCCCAAATCAGTCCAATTTTCTTCCCAAACATCTGGAGACGGTATACGAGAATAAAACAGACCGAAGAGCATTAGTGGGGTCAGGGACTGAGCCTGCCATTTGGGAGAAGCCTTTATAGGCCACATAAAAGCAGATGACTAAGCAGAGAAGACAACTGTCAGAGACAGGAAAATGGTGCACACAAGCAAAGAGAAGAAACAAGGGACCATGGGGTCCAGGAGCAAAATAGATGCAGAGAGGCTACCTGACCACTTTCTAATTCCCATGAGGTCCAACTGTGCTTCCTGCAATTGGATTCTGTAAGACTGCTTTTTGTCCTAACAATAAGCTCTCTTTCTTTTTACTTTTTATTGTGAAATATATGATACATATGAAACACTGCATGAAAAGCAGACACTGAGCTAAAAATGTTAATAATAATACCAATACCTGCATACTCCCTAACTAGGTTAATTATTAGTACATTAAAATTTAAAGCTCCCTTGTGTAATGCCCCTTCCCAATCATATGTCCTCCTATTCTGAATTTTGAGTAAATTATTCCCTTGTTAGTCTTTATATATTTTAATTATATTAATTACTACTATGTAAAAACTTCCTTATTTTAGAAAATTTTAAATATACACAAAATTAGAGAATAGTGGAACAAATTCCCGTTACCTATCTTCTCAACAACATCTTACTCACATCTTGTTTCATCCATCCTCTACCTCCCTGCTCCACCACCACATACACAGTGGATTATTTAAAGCACAGCCCAGACAACACTATATCCATTTAGAACATATCTCTAAAGAAAAAGACTTTCAACATAGGTACAATACCACTATCACTCCCACAAAATTGGCAATTCCTTAAAATCATTTAAAACCCAGTCTATGCTGAAATTTCTCCAATTGCATCACAGATGTTTTTTTAACAGCTGGTTTGTTTGAATCAAGATCCAAGTAAGGTTCACACACTAAATTTAGTTTATATGTATCTTAAGTCTCTTAATCTCTATCAATCTTCACTCCATTGTTTTTCATACAATATATCTGTTGAAATAAAAATTAAAAGATCATGTGACCCGCAGATTTCCCACATTCTGAATTTGGCTGATTGCATTTTCATGATGTCCCTTTAACAGATTCTTCTATCCACTATGTTATCTGTAAACTGGTCATAGATCTAGAGCTGGGCTAGTACTGTAGTGATCAGCACATGTGGCTAAAT